TAGGAATACAGAAACGTAGGTGTTTCTTTTTGAATGATCTCCATCAGGTCGTAAACAAATCGAAAATTTGTAACCCTGTTTTCCAGTTACGAATGGAGAACTGTGTATCTCTTTGCCAGACCCACTCTTGGCATTTTTTAAGATGACGCTGAAATTCATTACCTTTCACGCAAATCTTTCCGCTTATTAATTCTGACACATTTTTCTCCTGGGCGGTTACCTTTGCTTCGAGGACGGCATTGGCGGATTTTAATTCCTGTACTTGCTTTCGCAGAGTTAATTTCTCCTGATCAATTCCCGTCTGCTTCAATTCAAGTTCGCTTACTTTCTCTTTAAGTTTGGAATTCGCTTCTTTGAAAACTCTGCAGGCATTTTCAAAGTGGATTCTCATAGCGGTCTGAAGATGCAGTTGGACTTCCTTTCTTAGCATCTAAAACGAGGGATAAAGGATACGAAGAACTACATGTGACTAACAGCTGAGATATCACGGAGCAGGTGGGCCTTGTTTGCACCCATGACCACCCCCTACCTCCCCCATTCCCCGGATAAACGTCGCACATAAGGAGAAAAGTACTTCAAAATACCCCAGAGCTTTTTATGTAACTATCATTAAAAAACAAGTGCAGAAAATGTCAGAGGCCATCTCGTAAATCTGTCTTTCTAAAGGTCAGTGTTTTTCAGGTATATTAAACGCTGCAGTTTTGAGCCGCGGTTTACGAACGCGACGATGACTCTGGTAGTCCACTATACGCAAAGCGGAACAGTGCGAAGCATAAGGACACTTTTCCACAAAAAAACAGTTAGCTTACGAGTGCGCTTGTCCAGGAAAATGCTGTCCCCCGCCTTAATATTGTTATGATTACTATAGTCGAGTGAATACAATTCTCATCTTCTCGGCTGACCATAAAGTAGGCTTGAGTCGATTGTGCTCGTAAAACTGGCATATTATGCTCCTAGCACTGCTCAAAATTTCTGAAATTTATGCCCGAGTTATGCTCGTTTCTCTAAATTATGGTCCTCGCGTCAAAATTATGCTACTTGATTTTTAAACAAAATAAAGGCAGAGCACCGGGGTAAACACAAAACAAACAGCAACTGATTACTTATCTGGTGACTGCAACCGATCATTTTGATAAACCAATTATCAAACAATGTGTCGTTACACGTTTCCCCTGCATTTGTTCCTCAGAATTGATAAACATACTACTCGTCATTTTTCAATCAATGGAGCTTCTTAAGTCAAAGTAAGGATGCAGAGTAATACGCCTATCAGCGTTTATTGTACTGAAGCATAACACAAGCCTGAACATAATCTACTAGAGCATGGTCTTGCGAGTCGTTGAAAGAGGAGGTAATTATTGAAAATACTCTTTCTGCAGCAGCAGATGAGGGTTGTACTAGGAGAACCTTCTTGACTGCAGACGACCGATGCGGTAATCGATCTGAGTGCTGTCGCCTCCACTTCACTTTGTCTTCTTCGCAGGCCATTGTGACGTTATGGGCCGCAGCAACATAGTTAGGCAGTTCCGTGATTAAGCCATTTATTACATGGTTACTGTTCAAAAACGGAAATAATCATAGGCCTTGTACAGTTGCTGGCGTTGGTTGCAGCCATTGCACAGCTTCCGGGCACATTATTCTAGCAGCCTTGAATGCGCTCAACGTTTTGTACATATCTGCATTGAATTTTCGCAAAAACCACTGAATTCCAGGCTCGACACTCCTTTTGGCTTCCCGTTCCAGTGCTGCAACATATATTTTTTGCGGGATCACCAGCCGCTATAGCAACAGTTACTGCGTGGACATTTCGGAAATGTGGTATCTGACATGCATTCGCAACCGTTTGTAATCTCTCGAAGCACGAGAAGACTTGTAGGCCGTCTCCCTCTAAAACGTAAGTGGCTTTTACGAACGATACACCCACATCAACGATGACTGCTAGCTCAAGCTTAAGGCTCAGAACTTTATCTGGATCAGAAAGGAAGTCAACCAGTTGATGTGAAATTTGGGGAGCAACATTTTCTCTTTCAGCATTAGCCACGAATTCTTGTAAGTCACCAAACTGCTCTGTGAGTTGTTTGTAGACTTCCCACTTCGACCACCAACGAGTCTCGGAAAAACTCTTTGATTTAAGTCCAGTTTGTTCCTGCCACATAAGCCTCACTTTGTGGCTATGTCCAAATAGGCGGATCCACAGATTGCCAAACTCACTTAAGTTCGGGATAACAAAGTAATTGCCGACATTATCCAGAGTGTGAGAAAAACAAACCATATTGAACGTCTTGGGGAATATGAGCTCGATGCGATTCAAGGCTGCTTGGTTCACGCTGGCGCCATCTCTCATGGCAGCTATCAGTGAGTCTGCTCTCACACCATAATCAACAGATAAACATTCGTTGAGAACTTGGGCAAGCTCGTCACCCTTTACCGATTTGGCACAAACATCAATTCTGATCAGTCGTTGCAATACACCAATCATCGTTGACAAAACGCACCACGATCATGATCGCCTCTCTCCGCCTGTCGCGTGCTTCCATCAAAGATAATGAAAAGATCCCTTGTAAATTCCCCGCCACCGCCATCAGATGGATCTGGGCGAATTTCTGCTTTAATCCTCTGTATCTCTTGCTTGTATATCATTGGAATGTACTCCTTCATATTAGAATGATGACTAGGACGATAGCCTTGCCTTTCAAGGGGCGGTCAGAATTTGTCTATCTTTCGTAAAGGGATTCCAGCTTTGAGAAACTCCTCTACCACCTGTAAACGGTACGCTCTCTCCTCAACTGGCAAAGTGCAGTCCTTGCTCTGTGTATTGTCTTGTCTTAGCGCCTCCGTGTTAGTTTGATCTCGCTTCTTAGTTTTTTTCATCTTCACCTTGCTTGAGTCGTGCTTTCTGGAAGCAACATGACTTTCAAGTATGCTCTTTTTAGAGCTTAGAAGCTCCTTGCAAGCGTCACAAAACAGTTTACCGTTTCGAAGACACAAACTTTCCCCGGAAAATTGTTTGATTCGATCGTTAAGACTAATGTTTTTTGGATCTAATGTACCTCTTTCACTATATATTCCTTTAGTCGATTTCAATACACGCTCCCGAGAGACTGAGGCTCTTTGTACGACATTGCCTGAATAACTGAAGTGTTCGACGAGGATCTGTTCGACGAGTAGCGAGTCGTACGAGTAGGGCCTGAAACCAAGAAACGTTACAACGACCACAGTGAATCCACCGTAGGCGTAAACTCATTATTAGCAACAAACATTCTAGAATACAGTAAATGGTTTGAACCCGGGGGTAACATGTAATAGTGTAGCTTGATCGTCCGGGTAAGTGTAGTCCTGAAAAGGACTGTTGTCGATAGTGGTGACTGACGTTTCGACAACCTGAGCGGAAGTCATCCACTTGACTCTGATGATGACTTCCGCTCAGTTTGTCGAAACGTCAGTCACCACTAGCGACAACAGTCCTTATCAGGACTACACTCACCCGGACGATCAAACTACACTATTAAAAACATTCTAGAAATTACGAAGATTCTTCACATCGTGGAAGTAAAAAGGCAGATTACGCCAGCAGTGTTTTTCTTTGATCAAAATTATGCTAGCACAATCGACTCAAGCCTAATCGCACGGATCTCGACACGCAAGATATTTACTCCTAGTTAAGTGATCACACATTACCTGTCGCCGCGCCGCGGAGGGGGAGGGGGAGTTGAGAGAGGATTTTGGTGGAACACATATTTTTCTGGATGAACGGAGGGAGGATCAGTCTTTGTAAACAGAGTAAAGGATGGGGGGGGGGAGCTTTAAAAACCTGACTGTCAAAGATGGGGTTTAGAAGAAAACAACAAAGAGTTAGCTTTTCGGGAGAATTCGATAAATTTATCTTGACATAACCAAAATCCTCCGACCTCACCTTTTGCGAGGAAAGCGTCGAATACTTTTAGGAAACTAGTTCATCCATTTTACATTAAAGTTAATGGTCCAGTAAAATATGAACACTTTGCAAACTTGAACCCTTGAAATTTCATAAATTTAAACAAACTCCTTTTTTCCAGCAATCAAGAACTATATTCTGTATTCTCCTACAAAGCTAGCACACCCAGAACTACATACATCTTACATTTTGCAATAGTACTTAATTATCTGTATTGTATCCCCGATTGAGTTATTTAGACAATGAAGAACAAATTTACGCTACTCCTTCTAACAAATGTAATGATATACCTTTCACAGTTTGTTGTTCAAGTAGTGATACGCTTACATTACTATTAATACACAACTCTTATTATATTTAATTCAAAATTACAGCAATAACTGTTCACAAGGTCTCAGAAACTAGCCTTCTACTTCACCTGGATGAAAGAATCATTGCCGTTCTTTCTTCTACCATGATCAGCTTATGCGAGTTTAATATCGCTTATAATCCAGAACACCTTTTAAAGTGTTTTAAAAAACTAAATCACGTTTTCATTCTTGCAATATCAAGATAAATTGCATTTGTTTTAAATCCTGAAAAAACGATACTTCTTTACAATAGAGTTGGTTAGAGCAACAAGTCTAATGCTTAATTACGCTAAATTTCACATATCTTTAGTGTATACTGTTGCGTAAACCTTGTCTCTGGGTTTTTGTTTGTTTGCTTGTTTTTTGTTTCTTTTTTCTTTCTAGAGCGCATCAAAACGATATTAACTTGATAATCAATTCTATGCATAGAGCTTTGCCATCAGAAAAATATTTAAACTCGTACGACACTTGTAGAATGGGTGTAATAAACCAAAACCAAATTAATCACAAAACCTACTCACAAGATCAGAAAGTATCAGATACTTGTATATCAAAATAAAAACAAGTGAAAAAGTGCCTCAAATGCGGATCTGATAAATTGAGAGGTTGGCTGAGTCTCCTAGAATGAACTTAGTGAGAAAATAAAAAACCATCATCACGAAAATAATGACATGTAGAATGAAAAAAGCGATCGATGTATACTTAGTCCGTTTTTCTCAATATATTTGTCTCTCCAAGCCTTTTTTTTCTTTCTCATCCATTTCTCTCTCCAAGGCATGTTGCTTCTCATTCATCTTCTGAATTTTTGCTTCATTAGCTTTGCCTTGCTCTTGGAGAGTAGCAATTTGGTTCTGAAGGAAGTCTTCCTTCTCTCGATGCTTATATATTTCCTGTAGTAAAGTGTAATTTTGAATTTGTTTAATACATTTCTGCATTTTCACATTGACATTAATTGGACCAATATCAAAGTTGTTCATGTTCAACCTTGCAGCCTCTTAAATCCCAAGTTAAGCGTGTAGACCACACACTAATCATTTAAATCTAACAAATTTTTCATATATAAAGTACTCAGCACGGCCAATAAAGAAATGGCATAATCACGAAATTCAAAATGAAGACTAATAATAGGACAATCCTTGTGACTTAAATCACAAGAGTAATCTTTGAAACCTTGATTCACGATGAATAAAAGCACTTCATAACACTCCTTTTCCTGATCTGCGAGTTGTCTCTTAAGATTATAATTTCATTCCATATCAATGCCCATCTGTTCTGTTACGTTTTTACTTACGTCGACAAGTAAGTTGAGATGTTCCTTCTGAGACTGGAGGAGGTGATCGTCCAGGTTTTCTCGTGGAACCTACAACATGGTAATCAATCTCTATCATTCATTGCCTTGATTCAAGATACAAGAAAAACTTACAATTCTTTTAAAATGCGAGTTCAAGTGTTCTTTTATTGATAAAGGCGAATCTTGGAGTGGGAAAAAAGTTTTTCTGTAATTAGATGAAGTTCAAGGAACTTGCTAAAAAATTACGTCCCAGGTCCCTCCACCCCTGTACATTAAGCGTGTGGGTCAAATAAGACGGCAAAGTAACTTTAAAAAATGGATTTATGAGAGAAGAAAGTTTTGATTGCGACAATTAACTTCAACTTGGAAACCCGCTTACAACAGAAAACTAAACGTTTGTTAACCTACACGAAAATAATAAAGTACGCTTTCCATGTACCTGTTTTTTGCAGCCCAGCTTAGCAAAGTAACAGGGAAGTTCGGTTTTCCCGCAGTAGTTTTCCATGTGATCTTGAAGCTAAAAACACATCAGTTAGTTTTTTAGTTTTAGCCAATGATTATTCACCGAAGCGGGAGTTAATTGTACTTAATCAGTGACTGAGCAGTAAGCAAGAGAGGTAAATATCCACCACTTCACACCGAAGTTAATAGTTATTTTAGTATTCTTAGCAAGTTAAGGTTGCACAACATCTTTCGACATTACTCATGTCTCCTTCAGTTGCAAATGCTCGTATTCCAATTTGAGTTTGTCTTTAGAAATACGTTATCGGATTTTGATGTAAGATTGCACTCTATGTATTCGTAACCTATTTGAATAAATATAACCGAAGCACAAGAATACAATAATGGTTTTTCAACATAAACAAGGAAAAAGTCAACACTATACAAACAAACAAATAAATAAAGTACATGTAATGTAAAGTATATAATGAACCTCTCGGCAGGAGTGATAAAAAGCCTTGGATGATTGCAAGTTCTTGTAAACGGGCAAGGCCTGTTAAATGGATTACTGTCACTCCGCTTATTTTCCGACCATTAATATCATTATTTTGAAAAGAACAATTAGGAATGTTATGTCTTCTAACTTCTAACCATCTCTCGGGAAGCTGTCGCGTTACATTGCTCACAATGTACTGGATATCTGTCACAGCTGTCGAGATGCGCCTGTGGAAAAAAGGGACCTGTTCATGAGCGGAAACTATATATTAATTTGCGCCGAACCATTTTCATTTTCACCAAAGATCATTTTTAGTAAAAGTTGATATATTAACATTTGACGTTTGTTTACCTCAGAATGTACTTTAATTTGCGCAACCTACTACAGTGTACTGTACAATGTACTACTACGGTACTGTTCAAACGTTTGAGCCAATTGACTAACATTATGGTCGAATATTAATTTCAAGTACGAATTTTGCCCAAACAGTCAAGTTTTATTGCTTTCAAAAAAAATTTTTTTCACTGGCGCGATGTTCCATGGCGCGAAAATACAATTGGAATCTATTTGTTTTATATAATAAAGAATTAAAAAAAGTTTTAATGATGACGTCATCTATACGTCTGTCCTCCAATAGATCATAAGTGAGAACCAATCAAAACGCGTGCATAACTGAGCTTATTATATGAATATATATATATATATATATATATATATATATATATGTATGTATGTGTGCGTGTGTGGGTGTGTGTACATATATATATGTATCTATATATCTATATATATATATGTATGTATGCATGTGTGGGTGTGTGTGGGGGTCTATGCGCTATATCATAAACTCATTTTCGAGAGACACCGCTAAAGAATACGAGGAAGTAGATGTTAAATATTAGTACGACTCAACGGAGTTTCATTTGGCATCACCATTTTCATTTCTTTCTTTTCTTACCAGTGAAGTTTTACGGATTTTCGTCCTGGCAAAATACAATACCCGTATGGCAGATCAAGTTTGCCATGTGGCTTAGCCTATCTTGATGCCTAATTTTTCATTTATCAGAGTGGCCAGCAGAGCGTCCTAGTTTTTTAATGCACATAATCGATCAAGATATTTTAATTTCACTGTCTTAATCTTGTGAAAGTTGAGTCAAACAGATATTTTTTCCGAAAAAATCAATTTATCGATAACTACGGCTCTTGCCTAAGAAAATTATTGTTAGCTTTTAATTGTCGGGGAGGTTCATATACCTCCATACTGCAATCCGGATATTGCTTCTGGCAGAAATCACAGTGTACCATTCTCCATGGGCACTGAGTGGCGCTATGTCCATCAAGATCTTTCCGTACCATGGTAACTTTACAGTCAGGGCATGGAATCACTCCAAAAGGACACTCCTCCAAATGCCGCTGTAAAGGACAAAAAAAAGACAAAAAAAGCATCAATTTAGTGCTACTGCATCTAACTCAACTTAGATATCATAAACATAAAAAAAGATTCTTCAAACCTCCTTGAATTTTAGTTCATCAGCCCATTCGCAGTCTTCACTACCACACCTTACGGCAAGAGATAAGATCTTTCTCTCCTTCTCTTTATTTGGAAACATGTCCTATGGTGATACAAAAATTGAAAAAAATACACACGAAAGTTTGCTTGTGGAGGCCAGCCTTCGATTTAGCTATTTCTTTTCTTTATCAACAGTTTAGCGTATGGAGGCCCCGCCACAAGGGGTTGACATAACAAACCTTGCCGATCTTAACACAAAGTTTAACCTATAGCTCAATAGTCCATTTTACAGTTGCGTGCTTGGTTGCCAAGCCTTTGAACAGGAATGAGGCTAAGGGTGACCTTGTTATGGTACAAACCTTGTTGCTTTTCAAATGTAAATTACTTTGTTATCATGCTAACCAGATACTGGTCTCTATCACAACAAGATCACCTTCAGCCTCACTCCAAATCAAAGGCTTGGCAACTAAGCACACAACCGTAAAATACAAGCATCCTTGATCACCTTTCTGAGGGGAATATAAAATACATATATATATATATATATATATACATTTGGTAATTAAGTGTTAACAACTGAGTTGAAAACATAAATTGGCCACCGTAAAGAGTAAAAAACCTAGCTTTTTCTCTCTTTTCGGTGGTCAATTTACGTTTTCAACTCAGTTGTTAACACTAAACTACCTGCTATACTCTTCCACCGACGCAGCACCGCAGTTTCTTTAGAAACTTACCTCCTTTATATATATATATTTGTTTTTATGACCTTAATTTTTGATTCAGGGCTGATATTTTATGGAAAAATTGGATGCAAGTTACTCTTAGGGGTTAAAGTTAGTAAGCTAAAAATCCTAAAAATGTAGATTATTTTTTCTTAATGTCTGCACCAATTATTGAACTTTTTTCGGCTTCCTTAAAAAACAGAAAAAATGTATAAATATCTTTTCTAGATCGACGGCTTCTCGGTCTACAGGGCAAAAGCCATTCCGACCTTTATGTTTTTCCCTGTAAAAATGATCACACGATTTAAACAACAAAAACACTGAATAGGAACTACAGTTCACTTGTTTCCCTTATTCAATTTTAGCATGTCAGTTTGAATTAACTCTCATTGAAAATATAATTGCCCCCTCAGGGTTTCTGGCTTGAGGCCAGAAACTTGAGCAAGCATCAGAGGAGTCTCTCCGTGTGTTCATATGGAATTGATAAATTAAAAGAAAAGAATGATGAAAGGAAACATAAGACTGGAATAGCTTTGGACGTTTGATTGTTTCTTCGACCACCTAGAATGTTCCCCTGTGGTTGCAAACCTTTTCCATAACATTTTAATTACAACTTATAAGCTAGAGGAGAAAATCTCCTTCAAACCTATCAGAAATATTACCACAATTTTAGTCACAATACATTCACAAGCCAACATTTATTTCACTATCGAAAGTAAAACGAGTCAAATGAAACAATTGTAAAGAAGCAAAAAAGAGCTAAGCGATCAAAGCGAGGCAACGCGGCAAAAACCAGTGGGGACATAAACACAGAAATAAACCTGAACTCAACTTAAACAGAAGCGAACGAAACCTGAACTGACGCAGAACTAGACGAAAGCAGAAAAAAACTAATAAAACAAAATTCAAATAAAACCTAACGTATCGTATAAATGGAAAAAGATGTACGAGGGAAGTGTAAGTTTTTGTTAGAATTACCACGAAATATGTTTTAAAAAAATACCTAAAAACTTCTTTACTTGCGTAAGGTCTATTACGACGTTTGAAAATATACCTCCTCAGGAGGTATATTTTCAAACGTCAGGAGGAGAAAGGAGAAAAGTCGTTGTCAGCCGATGATGTTTTTACCGAGCTGTTGCTCTCTGAAAGGATAAAATAAGGGATGGAAAATACAAGGAAATCCCTAGGTCAAATGATAGTTTGTTTGAGAAAAATCCAAAGGTCTTTGAACTGATTTTAGGTTCATAGCTAGGATAAGTAAAGAAAATCAGGTTCCATTCTGCCGTTTAAGGTTAACGTCAAGCTTAAAACATATTTGTTTACAAGTGGGCAAGACCGCCGCTACTGTTCGATTGATTGTTTCGTCCTGTTTATTTGAATCTTTAGTGTAAATGTGAAACTACGACTAGGCGATATCTGACATTACCAACAAAATTGAACATAACTCCGTTTAAAGAGCAAATAATCGAAGAGTGATCTGGAGATCAGGTCTTCGATTGCAAGTCAAGCGTTGATTTGTGCATTTCAGTTCCTGCAACACAAAAATCTTGCGCGAAGCCTAGGATACTCAAAGTGAAATGAACTAACGGAAACAATGAAATTATTTTACACGAAAAATGAAAAACATTTTAGGGCCGAATACTAGTAAACAAGACGTACGGGCGAAACTTCACGATCGAGTCGCATCTTTCACAGTGATTTCAAATTCTTAAGACAAAGTTGTCACGATCTCAGGCTGGGATCAAGTTGCTTATTCACATCTTACAAACTTTCAAAAACTTATTTTACGAAATTCTGTTGGAATCATGACAAGTCGTTTCAACGCTTCATTGAAACGGCAGCCATTGCGTCCCTTTGATGTAGAGATATGCAAATGTTGATTTGATGCTTCGCCGACGGCATCTTAAAACAGAAAACCTTTGTTTTCCGAAACAGTGCAGAACAAAGCAAGCTGACTGCGTTCAATAACAATCGCAAAAACGTGCGTAAGAAACCGCTTTGACACGCGCTTCTGTTTTTTGGCACAGAACGCTAAAAACGAGCTTAATAATGAGCTTAACCCTTTACGCCCTAATGTCATTATACATATTCTCCATACAGTTCTTTATACATATCCTAAGGTGCTGACTATAAATATTTGTTTACTGATCAAAAGCTTCTTTTGTTGCGCATCATTTCCGTGATTCTCATGACCTTAATGTATGATTTAGGAGTGATATTGTGAGGAGAGATTAGATGCTAGTCACTCTTAGGTTTTAAAAGGTTAATATACCAGTAATTCCAAAGTCTGGATGGAACCGTTCCCGTCAATGGATAAACCGCTATTGTTCAACTATGGACATGTTTACCACTATGCCCTAGAATCACTCCCAGCCTTGCCTTCTCAGGAAAGAGATGAAGATGATGATGTCGATAACGGTCTCGGGCATATGAGATACAAACCTTTCAGCGCCGGACGCAAATATGTTAATTCGGCCGGGATTTGTGCTACTTTATCATTAGCCATTGTAACCACTTCTATTTCCTGGTGGATATAATTTGCAAATTATTCTTTTCCTTTTCAATTGAATCTTTATGAAGCTCAAGTTTAGCTTTCTTTACATCGATCAGCTCGATCCTCTGTTTCGGCCGCTTTCTTTTTCGGCGTAATCGCTCTTCAATTTATTTTACCGATAAATTGGCATTTAGAAGATCTGGAAATTCCTTTGTTGGCCCCTTTTCACGTGGCCAGTGTAAGGCACAAATGTTAGTGTTTCTACTAATATTTTTCACATTGAAATGTTCGCGTGAGCAGGCATTAATCCATCGTCGACAACGTTCAATATCTTGCGATGGTTTTGGGCATGGTATGAATATTTTTTCCAGTTTCTGTCATTTCCTCTAGTGATTTTTGTGGATTTACGGGAAATCTCGAATCGCTTGAACATTTTTCCCAACAGCAATGCTTTGTGCGGAGCATTTTTAACTAGAATTATTTTTATTACTTTTCTCCTTAGGTCTCCTTTGCATTACGCCACCTGTTTGTCAAAGCTTTGCGAGGGGTCTTCTCTCTACATATGTATTTTTAGAACTGACGCGCAGCACTATTGTAGTGGTATATTGCGAAATGGGAAAGGGATTCAAAAGTTATGTAGCGTCTAAATTATGGAACGTTAACCGTGAAATAAAATAAAACTGGTCGATACCATGAAGATTATGATCAGTTTGCGTAAAGCGATACCAGTGAGTGATTTTCGTCGAGTGATATTGTAGCCAAGTGATTTTCGCCGATGTTTGTGAAATCCTATGAAACTTACGTCAAATAAAGGCTAAGAAGTAGCAGCAAATTACGACAAAAAGTGCATAGGAACAGCCGATTTGATTGCCGAACAACATGAAAGGGCACTAAGCAATGGAAATACAACGGCGGAAGGAGGCAGCAAAACAGAACTTCCTAGCCATCAACGCTTTGCGATGATGATCTGAAAAAGATTTCAGATTACGGTAGAACTTGCATGAGTTTGTTACCGTTAATGAGGCACTATAGGAATTTACAATCAGAATTACTAAGAACACCATTCGTGATATATCACGGCACAGATCGCAATACCTTCGTAAATGCTCCTCGATGCATTCGCGGCAAAAATGGTGGCCACAACGAGTAATCATCGGATCCCTCATCGGCAACCGACATATTCCACATCGCAAATCTACATTTACTGGCTCTACGAATTCATCGTCATAACCAGAAGGTAAGTTGGGCTCTGGAGAAACTTCCGCCATTATAACAAACTGAAATAACAAGCGGTGTGCGCACTCTTATTGCGTTGCACCACGCTCGTAACACAAATAGAGAGTCATTTGCATCCAATCGAGTTCGGCTTTCAAATTTTTTTATAACGCGGATTTTGATTGGTTTATGTGTTGTCAGATCTGCGATATAATTGGCTAAGAGGAAATGCTCTCGTCCTGAGCATGTATTAAGAAAATCCACATCAATCAAGAGGTAAATAAGCGCTTGACACTTTGTTACTGAGAAACATGAGAGGACGGATATGGCTTTTACTGCAAGTACATCTCCCGCAGCGTTATTTCCCCGGGTCTGTTGGGAATGTGTGAAAACATGTCAAACTGTAGGAGATCAACTTATCATCGCTAGTTATTGGGGTCCTGGTTAGTGTTGTAATGCGACTCCATAACCTTTCAAACTATAGAGATCAATGTGTCATCGCTCGTGAATGGAGTCCTGGTTAATGTTATGAATGTCGTAATATGATTCTTTAATCTTAATAAAAGATTACATTCTTTTGCCTGTTGTCCTGTTGTCTTAACCGGCTTTCAACCACGAGTTGTTTGTTAGTGGTAGGATGGCATGTTCTTTCTACGACATATTTGTGGGTATGAAGCTATCCCGTATGGTGAATAACTATTAGCGCTTTCCAGTAGCCTGTTGGTAAACAGCTTTCTCCCAGATCTTCACGGTCAATTGATTTCGTGGGCGTATCGAAATATCGAGCCAGACACCCTCAACGCATGCGTACTTGTCTTCAATTATTCTGTCATGGTTACGAGTTATGGTTATCCTCCCACCTTTAGATGTTTAGCGCGAACACAGCTTACATACACGGATACACAGGATAGGTACGAGATGAGAGATGAATATACAAAAATGTTTCAGGGATGAGGCCTTCTGTGCCACTTGGCGCGAAGAGGTTAGTGAAGGTGAAGTTGCTACAATGAAACTTAATAATTGAAATAAAATGTCAACTAACATACCTTGGTTTTTCAATCATTAATTGTAAGAGAAGGCTTTGGCTTTGGCTTGTGAAAATGCTTGCAAATAGATCTTAAATTTTAGAAAAAGTTTTGCTTAAACTCAAAGCCTAAATGCTGACTCCCAGGTTCAGGCTGGCAGTTTCCTAATGCAAAGTTTTTTGAGCCACAGCATTCTTGTTTTATTCCTAAGTTAATTTTTGGCCTTTGCCAGTGGACTGCAAGAGTTATTGTTACAATAGCAAACAGAAACTGGCAAAAAGATGAGTCATCTTGGCAGTACTGCTGATAAAAGATGTGACATCTTCACAACAGGAATACTGATTTGCTAAAGTAACAATGGAAACAAAATGTTATTTTGCATATGCCTAATTCTTCTATTCTTGATTATTTTCCTCTTCTTATTTTCTTTCCCAATATTTCAACTACAAGAAGGCTTAGGCTTAAATAATTTATTATACCATTTTTGCCTACATTTATGTCATTCTAAATCTCATAGTGAACACTAATGTAATAGGGAACACAGTTGTGTGGCAGATGATAGTGATCAAATGAATAAGTCTACTGAATTCATTTAAAAGTACTATGTTTACACACTAGATGGACAGTACCACTGACACGGATAAGTCTCAAAACAGGTCAAAGCCTATCATTTGGTCACATAGAAACACACCCAAACTACTGTGTCATGTGTCAGGGCTATTCTTCAGGGTTCTAATATTCAAAATTACACCAGAGTTAAGACAGTGTGCACTTATTTCTAAGAACTCAGAAAACAACACACCAGAACAGATGGGTTCTCAAGGCAACCCACCCAGTTTTAACTTTGTTTATTTACTTTTAGATATGCAAACAAGTTATACTTGGTTTTACTTCCAATTGGTCAAGAAATTGGCATTGAGACTTTGTAGCTAATGTCTAACAATGGAAAGCCAATAATGATGATAATTAGTTATTATTACAGAAAACTATACCATAAAATTTGACACTGAGTTACTGAAAACAACTCATACTTCATAATATGGGATTAACACAAACATGCTGGTACACATTTTGCAATTTATTTTCCAACTGTATACCTGGTCATCTATCCAACATTGTGGCCTTTCTGTGCTGCTGGAACTGTTTTTGTGATAAATTTTTTTGTTTTTAATTTACTGTGGTGTGACTTTCCCTAATCCCGCTGCTAACTGTGGAAGAGGGCAGACTAATACAGAGGGTTTCCACCAGCAGCCTACATGCAGTTTTCTTTTTGTTTCCAACCAAAATTGATCATCTCAAGGTGATATTTGTCTCTGTTGACAGGAATCAGCAAACTAGCAAAAATGTGTCATTTTGGCTGATCCAGAATTATCCATAGCCATTAGTTGCCCCCAAGCGATGGGAGGTGATGGAAATTCTATGGGCTAGGGATCTAAAAAGGCTGCCAAATGGTGCGAAGAAAAGTATTGAGGCTAAATTACATGCCTAATATGATTTTCATGTTTTCACATGTGGATCATTATTAGCAAGTATTTCCTCTGACGAAAACATTGCTAGAGTTAAACACTTGCTAAATTTTTGCATCTGTAATTTAACACAATAGCTGCCACTGTCACCAAGAAACAAATATCTTTTAACTGAATTTCAACTCTGGTTGACTTTATTTTTTAAAAATGTGTATATATTTAAGTAAGTTAATTAGTTACTTATTCATTTAGTTATTCATTTAGTTATTTACTTATTCAAGTCTTTTTGTTTTGATTGTTCTGAATGTTATTGCTGTGAGAACAATTAGGAGAAGCCTATCTTAGACAAAACCTTTTCATATATTTTCCTTGACCAGAGCTATAAAGTCAGTGAAGAAAATTGTCATCTAATCAATTCATCTAACAACTTAAGGGCAATCTTCAGGCTCTACATGTACATCACTGGACTTGGCATAGCCAAAAAGCTAAGAAACATTGCTGAGAAACATATTGTGACTTTGTAAGTTTCTTGCAACCTAAACTACAAGGTGAGGCCTTCATCACTAGCAAGAAAGGTTATGTTATAGGACAGTATGTTCTTAAGTAGGGAAACTGGTCACAACTATTGTGTATAGGAAGGTCCTCAATTGAAAAAAAAAAAGCCAGGTGGCTCTTGTTGTCATCCCCATCCAGCAATACACTTCTTGAATATCTTCACAAAAGTAAATACTGGGAAAGAGCACAACCTCCCCTTGTTGTTTTAAGCCCACTGAATCATTCTCAATTCAATTTTTTTTCATTTAACCCCTATCCCCTTTATTCCTGACTTCCCCTAAAGGCTACACATTAAAGAGGCCAGTGATGCCATTAGTCCTGTTGTTGTTGGTCTCCTTGTGGTGTTGATGTCCAAGCATTTTTGAGCATTGACAAGTAACATTGGAATTTCTTGCTTTGTAGCTACTTCATGCAGGATTTGGCCAAGGAATAAACATCACTGGCTTTGCTACAATAGGTGCCATTCAGAACTTCAGGAGCAATGTGCCTATAGTGGAAAGTGTACAGGGTCACAGGCCTTTCCAAAGTCTATAATTTGGCCATGTTTATTAGTTACAATAACATTGTTTGATTTGAGACCACAATGAAGAATGCCTTTGGAGTGAATGTGAGCGAGAGCATCTGTGATATCATGACAAATGATCAGCCAGTCTTTGCTTGTCGGTGAACTGTTAACTCTCTCTAATATACCATTGGATTCTTTGCAATGCAATAGTTAACTGACTGTTGTGGATGTATTTTCTTCCCCTTTGAACTCCATCACTAGAGATATAGGCTCTCTTTCAAGCTGGATTCCTATTATTGCAGGAATGTTTTTGTGTGTGAGAGTCTGCATGATTTGTGCCTCCTTTACCATCTCTTTAGCGCTTTGCATCAGACATTGTTTTTCTACCACAAGAACGTTTAATCTTGTGAAAGATTTTAAAAATGCACTGGCCATATGAACCCTGTCCTAGTATTAATTCCTTTTCACTGATTGGTTGAAGCTCAGATGGATCAATTAAATTAACAGTGGTAAATTTGCTACTGGGTGGTCCTGATTTTGTATTCCTGTCTCTAAAGTAATATTTTATTTTATAAACAGAGGAAACGTGAAGCTGGTCAGCTTAATAAGATTCACATGCTAGATTGTGTAATAAGTGGTAATAGGACTGAGTAGTCTTTGGTCTGTAATCATATGAGTGATAACAAAATCAGACGACTGCATAGTGGGAGTACAATTTGTTTATCGCGAGTATGATTACAGACCGAAACGAATGACACAAAGTCCCTTTACCAATTAATCGTAAAAATTACAATTTCCAAATTAAAAAGAACACTTAAATATTGTCATTGCTCAAGGGAAACCAATTCTGCGTTTTGAAGAAAGCCCCAATTTAGGAATCTGTACACTGTTTCTATGGTGATTGAAACCAAGGTTGTGATTGATTGATTTAAACTACAACTTTGAATGTAGTTGGTTGACTTAAACTACAACTTTGAATGTATTTGGCTTATTGAACTGTCCAACAACAACTTGGCAAGTGAATTAGTGGAAAATAGGAGTTTTTTTAAAACTAATCACAATCGAGGAAATTGTAATTCCTATGTTATGGTAAACTTTATCTCTTTTATATAATAAACTGCGGCTCATTTGCCTTCTTTAAGTCTCCTTGTATCCTAAACAACCCCAAGTATTTATGTATTCATTTTGAACAACTCTAACACTGTAGCAATACATGTCTA